GTTTAAGGTTAAAAAAACACATTATTTTCCACATACTGTACATTATTGTTTCTCCTCTATGCCCCGCCTTTCTGAAACGTGTCGATTTTTACAAAGCTCATCGGTCTGAAAAGCGAGGTGTGCTGTGATTGGCCAGCTATCCAGTGCGTTGTGATTGGCCGAATACCTCAAGCGTGTGACGGTTACGCCCCTTACCATACCATGATGCAGTGTCAGGCCGGAGCGACGAGACAAAAACATTAAAACCCATTATAAACGAGGCATTTGTTGCATCCAGTGGGGACATAATTGCGGATTATAATGACTTATACTGTGTTTTTACGTTGCATCATGCCGCGTAAACATAAAACCCTGTCTGCATTTGTGATCAGAGAAATGACAAACAACAAGTGCTACTCTACTGCCCAAAACTCGAGTTTGAATCATCAGTGGCAACGAAAAACACAGCGGCCTAGCGTGAGGGGAAGCCCTGGCTTAGTGTGTGCTGAGGAGTGAGCTGAAGCGGGCTGGACTCCTTGAAAAGTTGATGTATTTCCTCAGCGACCAGCACAGATCAGCTCTAGGCATGACGAAGTGGATATCGTCCTCTTTTGGAAGACCAAACAAAGTAGTTTCGCTTTCACAATGAAGCACACAGCATCTTCACGACATGGCGGCAGCAACAATACTACAGCGAGAATAAAAGTTACGCCTTCTTTCTTTGCGTGAACATTTGGGCGGCGTTATGCAAATCTTCCCACATAGTGATGTAGGTATGTGGGGGCGTGTTAGAACGAGGCGTTTTAGGTAGGTGTGGTTGACTCTTAACTTTTATAAAGAATATCTCTTTGGTTTTGAGACTTTAATGTTTGCAACTTTACAGATCTTCTTTATGCACCAAGAGCTTGTAACACTCCAAAGAGAAAGGAAAAATTGAAATCGCATCATATGACCCCTTTAACTTGTGATTGTCGTCCAGTGTTTGACAACTAATTTTCAGAGAAAGTTGCTGAAGGATGGTCGATTTGTTGCTAAAATTTGCTAAAGACGTTGTGACGTCATTGCGTAATCCCGACGCAAAATTGTCACATCATCAAATCTCAGCAAAAAATATATTTTATATATGTTAATTTAGATTTTTGTAAAAAAATAATATAATGTAATGTAACATTAAAATATAAATAACTGTATTTTTAAATACATTGAATTATTGAAAACGTGCACATTTTTTTTTATGATTTCAATTTAAGTTTTTTTTAATAGCTAGTAAACTAGTAATTCTACACATTCTCAACTAATATGCTTTAAGCAGTGTATTTGTAGTTAGTTAGTATGCTACATTCTAAGAAAAGTCTGTAAAAATAAGGCACAATCTACTATGTTAATATGAAAGAATTTTCCGTAATGGTTTTTTACCTGCATTTTAAATTATGCATTGTGTTTTCGGGTTACAGGGTTACAAAGGATGATGGATAATGGATAATTTCCTGAAAGATTTTCCATTTTTCTTACAGTGTATACTAACTGATCAACAATCGCAGGTACAAGCTACTAACAAAGTGTATCATAAATGAACAATTATTCAATTATCAAATTATTCAATTATTATTATTATTATTATTAAAGTGAACAATTGCAAATAGCAGCTAACTCAATTCACGTGATGTGTGTACTGCTAGGCATCTGTGGTTTCCTCTTTTTGTGTAATTTGGATGGAAAATGTGTGCCTTTTTATTGTCTGAGTCACTTATCAAAAGTTGCTAAAGGTTGCCAAATCAATTTTTTTAAATTGCTAAATTTGTTGCTAGGTGCTTTTGGAAGAAA